ACTTGGTAACAGCTCATCAACTTTTCCAATTATGAGGTACGCCTGCTTCCATACTCAAGTCATACTTCAATAAAGAATGAACTGGAAGTATGGTCTCCAACATCAGATCTCATTCAAAGTCGTTTAAAAAATAAATTTACTGTATACCTCCTATTTGCAGACTACTGGAGGGTATAGCTCAGTGGTAGAGTGCTTGCCTAGCAAGCACAAGGTCCTGGGTTCAATCCCCAGTACTGCCATTTAAAAAAATTAATAAAACCTAATTATCCCTCCCCTCCTCCAAAAAGCTGTATTCAGTGCTGTATGTCAATTATATCTCAATAAAACTGGAAGGAAAAAAAGTTTCAAAACAAAACAAAACAAAATTCATGCTTTCCTGCTGGAGAGGTCACAATGAAAAGGCCCTAAAAGGGAAGAAGTCATCTTTCTGTTGCAACCCCAACTGAGCGCCAACTAAACACAGCCTTGTCCTTGAACCTTGACACTAGATATAGCGGAGAAATTGCCTAGTAGGACCAGCCAACCCAGATAATAATGAGAAATAATAATAAATTTTTAAGCCATTAAGTTTTGGAAGTTTGTTGCACAGCAGTAGAGTGTGGAAACACTTGGTATGCCTAGTAAGTTTTTACTCTAAAAACACCCGGCAACATGTGTGAAACAAATACGTAGAGTCTAACCTTTCCTTCTGCTGAACAGATAGAGTCAGGATGGTTCACCTTAATCCAAACACAATTTAGTCAAGGATGGGTTACAATTTTTCCAAGGTATGGTTTTCCTCTGTTTGCTCTTTTCCAAGGGTATGGACTTCAAAGGCTTTCCACTGGGAGGCTGGTGTGTTCATTGCTGCCTCTCCCTGGTGGGTTCTGAACTCAAATCCTTATTGCTTTAGCACACAGAAATTACTGAAAAATCTGTTTTGATTTCCAAAGGCTTTCAGCCTAGGTTTTTAGCCTGCTGATTGTCACAGCTTCAAAATTAAACAAATAGCTTGAGGGCAAAATGGACATCTCTTGGGCTCATTTCCTGCACCTCTACATCCCAACTGGATCTTGAACTACTCAATTCTTCAATTTTATCTCTCTAATTCTGCAAGGCCAACCAAAGCCCTGCTAGTTTCTCTGTTTCCCAAAACTTTGTCTCTGCTTGAACCAAGCCTACTTTTTTCGCCCTAGACCTGGGCCCAGAATCAACACATGTTCCCATGGAAATAGTAGCTTTCATAACATCAGCCCACCTCTCTATGGATGTCCTGCTCTGAAATCTTGACTCCAGTCTTTGTTGCTTTAGGAAATGTCTGATGTTCTTAAATATTGTTTTTGTTGCATTTTATTTGAATTATCTAGTTGTGCTTGATGAGAGCTTCTGTCTGTCATAAACTACTCCATCCCAGAGATTTAAACAGCTATTGACAACGAATCTCCAAGACAGCATGGTACAAGCTACCAAGGCTACATACAATAAAGCTTTGATACTTGGTAGGAGGTCCTCCCTCAACTTGTTTCTTTTCCAAATTTAGAAATTATCTGGCTATTCTTGGCCATTTGCTCCTGCAAATTACTATTTGGATAAGCTTATCACTTCCACAGAAGACCCTGAAATTTTAGTTGGAATTACGCTGAATTTATAGATAAACTTGCGAAGAAATAACATCTTTACAGCATTGACTATTTCCATTAATAAAGACTGTTTATTTGGATATTTGTAAATGGCTTTTAAGTTTTGAAAATTTAAGGTCTTGCATCTAAGATTCCTTGGTAACGTGTATTTGTTGCTATTGTAAAAGGTATTTTAAATTACACTTCCTAATTGATCTTTTTTGATGATTCATAGAAATATAAACTATTTTTTATGTTGGTTTACTATCCAAGAATCTTACTGAACTATCTTACTATTTATAATACTTTGATTCTCTTGGATTTTCCATGACAGTCATGTTATCTGCAAAAAATTCTGGTTTTATTTCTTATAATCTTTGTATCAGTTGTTTATTTCATTAATATTAATAGTCAATGAATCCTCCAAAGCAATGTTGAACATAAACTATTTTATGTAACACCATTCTCTCATTCCTGACTTTAGAGTGTTTCACCATTATGCATATTTGCTTTAGATTGTTCTTAATTAGTCCTCATTGTCAGGCTATGAAAGTTTTCTCTTTTCCTTGTTTTGCTGTGAGCTTTTATTTTGCATGAATTTTACCAGATATTTTTTCTGCATCTCTTGAAATGGTCCCCAATTTTTTTTCCTTTCATGCCGCAACATTACAAACTACATCAAAGGATTTTTCCCTTTTTTTTTTTCTTTTGGGAAATTGTTTTGGAAATAATATTTTATATCTTTAAAAAAATTACTTGTGCTTTAAATTCCTCTTTGAGTAAATGTAATTTTTTAAAATTGGCCCATTTCATTAATGTTTTCAAATTATTGTAAAGAGGTAGGTACATGGTGGTTTTAAAATTTTTATAATCTATGTTTTATCATTTTCTATTTCCTGTTTCCATTTTGTTTATTGTTTCTCTTGTTATTTTTTAAACCATTTTTGAACTATAATTAACATACAAAATTGTACATATATTTAATGAATACAGTGAGATTTATATTTTCATATAGGTACTAGAGTTAAGTGATGGCTCAGTAATCCAATTTTAAACTATCCTTTCATTCCCATGATAAATCCAACTTAATCATGAGGTTGCTTTTATAGATGGCTAGACTCTTGTTAAGAACATTTTACTTATAATTTTTGCATTTAATTTCAGAATTATGATTGGACTGTAATTTTCCTCCTTCATTTCTCCTCATATGCTTTTGACTTCAAGGTTGTAGTTGTCTCATAAAAGAAGTTGAAACTTGGGAACATTACTGCTTTTAATATTTTGTTTACAGTTTATGTAAGCTTCTCATTTATTTTTTGAATGGGAAAAATTTTCTATAAAACTATTTTGCTCTGGTGTGTGCATATGCTTATAGAAGCTTAATTACTGATTTAATTTAACTGTTACGTGATACTCAGATTTTTAGGGGGAAATTAGCAAATTTTTGTTTTATCCAGGTTTTACTGCCATTCTCTTATATTTTTATCCCTGCTCTGTTGTATTCCACCTATTTAAGTTCTATGACTTTTGACTTTTGTTGATCAGTTTCTATAGGAAATCAGCTTTTAGCTTTTTGACTTCCTTTTTTGAAAGACAGGAAATACAGCATAATGGTTAAATGTACAGGCCTTGGGGTTAGATGGCTTAACTCAGGAGGCGATTTAGAGGATTATGTCTGATAAACCATACAGAGTGATTTGTGCCCAAAATAAAGTTCTTAAATTTTAGCTTTTATCATAGTTAAGTTCCTCATTATTTTCTGCCATTTGACCCTTTTTTTCCTTCACACTAATCACTCTCTAAAAGGATACTTTTTATTCACTTTTATTCATTTATTCAATTTTAAAATTGATGATAGATTTTCTCCCCTTACTTTTCTGAAAGGAAAGGACCTTTACTTTTTCCTGATAACCATTATATCAAAGCTTCTAGAATCATGCCCAATGTATAGCAGACACTCAAAAACGAATAAATGAATGAAAATAAATGAAATAAATGAATTCCTAACAAACTGCAGGACCCTGGTACTCCAAACTCAACATGAAGGAATTATAATTTTTTCTCTGGGACTTTAAATGGGGATGGCAGAGTGCCAAAAATAAGGTTAACTGCTGGTATATAGTTCCATCTATTTCAGGGTTTTGTGCCTTCAGTGTGAGACGTGTTCCAGAAATATGTCCTGACATGACATTATTGTCAGGGGACATCATACAGATTTTTTAGTACTGTGGGATTCGGGGAAGAAGCTTTAATTTTCTTGAATTAAAAAGCCAAGCTAAGTTTTAAGTTTCCTAAGTTGATTCTCTTATTCAAAAAGCCAGAAACACAAATGAATGCATTTAATTTTATATTAATTTTTTTCTGTTTTAGAAAATAAAGAACGTGATAGTCTTCAAAGTACGTATCAAAATATTTCACTATTGATTCAATTGCATCCTCTCCTTGAAACTACACTGAGTACTTACCTGTTGTGTTTTATTGACAGCGTATCCAAATTGGAATCCATCTGGGCTAGCACCTCAGCAGACAGCATGTAGTCCGCTGTGCCTAATTCTTGTTCTTCTGAGAATGTTTTAATTACCATTTATAGAGAAGAGAAATTCTAAGACATGACAACAAAGGAACAGTTTATGGCTAAATGTAACTCTTAATTATTAAAATGACTAAATTCTTATCTATTATCTACATTTAATGTCTGTTTTTAATCCAAGAGATGTACTGTAAGGTGATTTTTTAAAATTTTACATATATTCAAAAGAGTTCCAATCTCTAATATTATAGATTGTCATTTTTATTACAGCAGACTTAAAGATTTAAACATTTAGACTAGTTTTCCTTATCTGCTAGTAATTTCCTTCAAGAATTCTGTCAACATTATTCAGAAACAAAATGTTTTTAAGGAACATTTCAGATAGCATGTAATGTTATATTATGGTCATAATCAACAGTTGGGAAAATGGATAAGAACAGATAAATTCAAAAAGGGAAATCAATTAAATTTTAAACCTTTGGAAAGTAAATGTGTTCTGAAGATTAAAATTACACCCCTTTAGGATTAAGAGATTTTCATCTCTTTTAGGAGATTTTATATTAAAATATGTCCCATGTAAAATAACAGGATGCAGGTATACCTTTCAAAACCCCATAAAAAATTACCTGTAGTACAGTTAACAACATCTCTACAAATAAAAGAACTGATGAATTCTGGTTGTCTGAAGACAAAAAAAAAAAAGATTATTCAATTAATTCAGTTTTTAAATTCACTTATGTTTGGCTCCTATGGACTAAATTATCTAGATCTTTTTCTTCACAACTAAAGCAACCACCAACTTCCCTCAGTTATAAATATTATAAACAAACCATTTAAAAATGTATTTTTAACATGGTTGAGGATCATTTTGCATATATTACCAAACACCTAGGAATTTCTACATAGCTGAGTGATTGACAGTATTCTTAAAAGAGAAGCCAAGTGATTTTATATTTCAAATTGGCTTGTATTAGTCAAGGTTCTCCAGAGAAACAGAACCAATGTAGGGATGGGGGAGTTGGGGGGAGGTGGGTGGAGGGAGAGAGAGTGAGAGGAGAGATTTTAAGGAATTGTCTTACACAACTGTGGTGGCTAGCAAGTCTAAAATCTGTAGGACAAACTGGCAGGATAGAGATTTAAGTAAGAGTTACTGCTGCAGCCCAAAGTCTGGGAAATCAGGCAGAATGTCTATGTTGAATCTAAAGACAAAATTCCTCCAGAAAAATCAGTCTCTGCTCATAAGGCCTTCAACAGACTGGATGTGGCCCACCCACATTATGGACGATAATGTGCTTTAGTTAAAGTCAACTGATTATAAATGTTAATCACATCTAAAAAATACCTTTACAGCAATATCTAAACTAGTGTTTGACCAAACACTAACCACCACAGTCTAGCCACATTGATGATACATAAAATTAACCATCACACTGCTCTTCAGCACCATGTATATAGTCATTATCTTTTTAGTAAAATAAACTATTGCTGTTTGCTTAAATATCGCATTGTTAAAATTTGAGTTCATAATTGATTACTCCTTAACTTGGAGCTTGAAATAGGCTAACAATAAATCAACATATATAAGGTATACTTTTCCACTTATTGCATTGTTGGGTTGTCTCCATGGATTTTTAATCAGACTTTTTCATTAACAATTAAAATATCTTCTGATTTTTAATATAATTACTCCATTACTTCTTCAGACTCCTTATTTGTCAAAGAGCATATGAGTTTCTTTAAGTCGGATTAACTGAAATCCTACAGACCACATAAAAAAATGAATTTTTACAGAATTATACCTTCTGATTTTGAAGAAATATTTGTCATTAGCACTGTTATAGGAACTTGCAAGTAGTGGCAGTTGTCAGATAATGGGACCTCTATATGCAGAGTTGTCTACCTACTCCGAAACAGTGAGCGGAGGCTGGGCAGGTGGCATGCCTCTGCCTCACTAGTGGGGTTCCCCCCTTACTAGCACGAAGGGAAAATTCAGGGCCAAGAGATGTCTTCTCCTTGTGATCATACCCATAGGCTCTTGATAGAACATCTTAGAGGCTCAGCACCACTTCAATTTTTTACTCTGAGCAGATCTTGCTCTTAGTAGTGACCATAAGTAACCCTCCTATTTCACACCGTGTGGAATTACTAGACAAACAGCACTGGACTTGGCCTTTTCAAATTACTGACGGCAGTTCACTCAAGATTTGAACAGTGCATTTTTCTGGGGATCCTTTTGTCCTACTAGGCTATATCTGAAGTTTCCAGAAATTGCCTAATCAGTTGGAGTTATAGTGATCAGACTCATCAGTCTTAACTGGGCCAGATATATTCCATTCTCATTCCTTGGGAAAGATGGTGAAAAGATGATTTAAACTATCGTCTCTGTATTTTTTTGATTATGCAAAATCAAAAAATATTGTACAGTGATCAACATTCCTGGTTTGCCTGGGACTGAGGGGGGTCCGAGGACACAGGAAAACAAGATAAACCCAGGACATTCCTTAAAAAACCAGGAAGTTGGTGACCCTAAGCCTGAACAAAAGTGTACATGTACTATTTAATTACATGTACCATGTGTGTCTATAATAGAGCAATAGGTATTTTAAAATACACAAAAATTTGACCTGAAAAGAATGACAAAATGAATTTAAAAAATGACTGCTAAAGAGATGTTTACACTAGGAAGACAAGAATCAAATGATCGATATTATTTGAATGCACTTGTATCTTTAATCTACAATCCTTCAGCTATTTTTTTAAGACATATGAGCATTTTGTGATGGTTGGCTTAGTTAAAACTAAGTAATGCAAATCTGTAATTAAATCTACCTGAGTTAAAACACTGCAGCAAAAGAAGCAAAACAAATCCCATAGTCATCAGTCACAGGGGAACTCTCATTTTCCCTCAGGAAAGCTCCATACCCCTTGACATTGCCTCCTAGTCACAAAGCACTAGGAACCCACTTGGACTTTGCATACATTGTACTTGCTCCTGGTAGCTAGTGAGACCACACCGACTGTCATAAGGATAATTTCATAATTACGTATTAAGAATGCATAACGTGTCTGGCAAAATGCTAAGTGTTAAAATGTATTTTAGTTCTTGTCCATATAATAAGTGAAAATTAGATAGCATTTATTAACAGTATTAATTTAATAATAGTAATAGCTAACATTAAGTAATGTTTACAATGGACTCAGTGCTTCAAATATAAGGATTTATATAATCCTCTCAATAATTCTGTGAGGCTGATGCTATTAATTTTCATTTCTTGAACTATTAGTAGATTTAAACATTTTCATAAATAATGTTCAGATTTATAAAAATATTTTTTGAGAATTATTAAGACAGTTTGCGGGAATGCTATCTTTTGGTGGGAGGGTTCCTGGGAACTGTTGCATAATATAACCATGCCGAATAAATATTAACCTTCAGAATACAGGAGTAATGTAAATTTAGGAGTCAAAATTCTATATAAACTTTCCCAGATTCATACTCAATTTTATGAGGCAAACTGCAGTTTAGTTCCTAAGATTCAAATTCATCCTGGAATCTGGTTATACATAGTCCATCTTAGCAATATGTGAAAAGAACAGGTGTAGTATGAATATTTCCACTATACTGTTTTGAATCTTTTTTTTTTGTGATGGTGGTGGTAAATTGTCCATTCATTTTCATTCATTTTTCTAATGGTGCTGTTCATATTCTTAGAAATTTTAAATGATTCTTAAGTGTGCCTGAATGATGCATCAGTGATTTTAATCCTCTGACATTTACCTAGCAGGTATCTTTCTTAGTTGGCCTTCATTTACATTTACATTTACATTTACATCCATCTTTCCACTCTTGAATATTGGATTTTATTTGCAGCATCATTTTGGTTTTCTCTTGTAATGCTTCTCATGCACCATTATCATAATTTGAATTTCTGAATTATAGAAAAGATCAATCAAATGAGGACAGATTGAAAGTCAATAAAGTAACAATACAGCAACAAAATAATACCCATCAGTATCTTTAACCTTATTTCATGATTGTTTTCCTTATATATATATGAAAAAATGTATTTTAAACTTGCTAGCTTTTATCGAAATCAGAAAGAATATAGAATTTGAGTATTTCCTTAAAATTTCAAGCACAGCATACAGAAACTGAAAACTCAAGAAAGTCCAGAATCATCTGAGATAAGCAAGGGACTTAAAGTCTCTACTGAAATTGCCCTTATTTTTTAAGTGAAAGCAGTATCTCTATTAAATAAAACAAAAATAAGGAGGTATTCAAAAAGTACATCAGAAGCAGAACTTTAGTGAAATAACGTAGTGACATGTAATTTTCACATTGCTTGTAAAAAAAAATGATTCTGTCAATATCCTCCAGTAATCCCAATGCCTTCAAGGAATTTAATGTCTAAGTTATTACGTTCAAAATTAAGAAAGTTAAATCTTCTAGAGGGCTAGCTGAACAGCCCAAAATTTCAAAATTCAGAAAGTCACAAGCTATAAAAAGTTATGAGAAAACTAACACATCTTTTGGTACTGATGTATAATCTGTGATTTAATACATGTTATATTAAACAATGATTAATCAAGTCTCACACACATCTTCAAAATTTTTGAAAAAAAATACTTTAAGATATAGTACATTTAAAATATTTCTCGTGCGAAGTGCATGATGCTAGCTAACTCACTGACAGATATGAAAGGCTGAATATTTGCAAAACATTTTCAGCAAACTCAGCCTCTTTCTGCACATACCAAACTACATGTCTTCATATGCCTTTCCTCTGTACCCCTGTGTTAGTCACCTGGCTTTGAAAACGAGCCCTAACACTTACTGGCTGGGTGACTTTAGACAAATTACGTGACTTCTCTTTTTCTCAGCTTTTCTATCTATAAAGTGGAAATAAGAACTGTTTCTTAAGGTTTTATGATTTAAATGACCTGATATTTTCCAAAGCATTTCAAACAGCGCCAGATAGTTCTGAAAACAGTGGTGGTGATTACACAGCACTGTGAAAGTAACTGCCACTGAATTTTACACTAAAAATTATTAAAATGGTAAATTTTATGTTCTGTATATTTTACCACAATAAAAAAATAAGTAGATAAATGAAACAGCTCTTGATACACAATAAGAATTTTTGTAAATAAATTTTAAAATAGCTATTTATATTTGTATCGTATCTGTATTGTAATTATTTGATGATTTGTCTGCATCACCTTTAACTAAAAGCTTTATGTGGACATCCTACATATCTACCTTGTTGAGAATTTGTAGCTCTAGCACCTAGCACAGGCTCTGAGACATAGGGGGCCTAAAGGAACATTTATTAAATTAATGAGTAAGACGCCCAGCAAAGGAATGGGCTGCCTAAGAGATAATGACCCCTGTTAGCGTAATTATTTAAGCAGAGGATATGGTGATCACCTATCAGTGATGTTTCAGAGAATATGTCTAATACTTTGGGAGGAATCAAAGTCTAAAATTTCTTCCTAATCTAAGATTGCATTATTCTATTTATCTTCCTCCTTAATATAGCATTTTTCATAGTCTACAGTATCAACATAATAAAGGAATTCCATCCTGAAGCACTTGCCACCTTCACCCCCACAATACACTCTGGTCACACTAAAAAACTTTTAGCCTTTTTGGATCTCATGGCAGATTGCACGCTTTTTCCTTTGTTTAGAATGCACTGTTTCACCTGTGTGCGTCACTTTCTTGATGTCACATTCCTCAGACAGGCTTACCTGGTCCTCAAAAAGGAGGTTAGCTGTCCCACACATGCTGCAATAACATTTTGGTTTTGTATTTATCACATGGTATAAAAGTTACCAGTTTGTACAAAATGACAACCTATGGAATGGGAGAAAATATTTGCTAACGATGTGACCGACAAGGGATTAATTTCCAAAAATATACCAAACAACTCATACAGCTAAATATTGAAAATAAATAAATAAACAATCCAATCTAAAAATTGGCAGAAGATCTAAACAGACATTTCTCCAATGAAAACAGATAGATAGCCAAAAGGCACATGAAAAGATGTTTGACATGGCTAATTATAAGAGATACGTAAATAAAAACTACAATGAGGTATTACACTAGTCAGAATGGCCTATCATCAAAAAGTGTACAAATAATAAATGCTGGAGAGGATGTGGAGGAAAAGGAACCCTCCAACACTGTTGGTGGAACTGCAAATTGGTGCAGCCACTATGGAGGACAGTATAGAAGTTCCTTAAAACACTAAAAATAGAGTTACCGTAAGAGCCAGTCATCCCACTCCTGGGCATATATCCGGAGAGAATTCTAGTTTGAAAAGACACATGCACCCAATGTTCACAGCAGCACTATTTACAATAGCCAATACATGGAAGCAAACTAAACGTCCATTGATGAATGAGTGGATAAAGAAGATGTACATATATATATGTGTGTGTGTGTGTGTATATATATATATATATATATATATATATATACACATACAATGGAATATTACTCAGCCATAAAAAGAATGAAATAATGTCATTTGCAGCAACATGGATGGACCTAGAGAATCACACTAAATGAAGTAAGTCAGACAAGGAAAGACAAATATATGCTATCGCTTATAAGAGGAATTAAAAAATGATACAAATGTATTTATAAAACAGAAATAGATTCACAGACATAGATAACAAACCTATGGTTACCAAAGGGGAAGCAGAGGGGAGGGAGGGATACATTAGGAATTTGGAATTAACATATACACACTGCTATATATAAAATAGCAGGGTCCTACTGTACAGCACAGGGAACTATATTCTATATCTTGTAATAACCTATGATGAAAAATCTGAAAAAGAATAATATATATATTATATATTATTATATATATGTATAACTGAATCACTTTTCTGTATAACTGAAACTAATGCAACATTGTAAAACACCTATACTTCAATTTTTTTAAAAAATAGTAAAAGAAAAAAAAAGTTACTGATTTGCTACCTCACCAAACTAAGCTACTTGGAAGCAGGGTCTGTGTCTTGTCCACTGGTCTTCCTCATCCACCTAACACATTGCCTGGTAATATTTATTAAAAGAATTAAGGCATGAACGAAACCACCTTGTGAGGTCTACTGCTTTCAATTGTGTACACCACAGGTAATTTTTAAAAGCAAATTTATTTTTAGATATTTTTGGTCAAACAGTTGCAATGCTTTGTGGCAAAATTCTGCCCCCATGTCAATGATTCTGAATATCTCCTTAATGCTATCGAGCACAAATACGCACCCTAAAATAATTATGCGTTTTTATTCTAAGCCTGGAACTTGTGTTCTTCAAAGTCAGTTTTCTTGAGCAACATTTTTGAAGCCAAAGAATTACGGCCAAAATTTGCTAGGACACCTGGCATTTTTGCCGGAAAGAAATGAAAACAAAAAAATGAGTTCTTATTTACTGACAATAAGCGTGAACAGTGAACACGACAATTTGTCAGAGAAGATGAATATTGATATTTCAGGCTGTCTATATGTGCCGGTGAGAGAAGAAATGAAAATATTTTAACCTCACGAGGTCTGACGATCCCGAGTCTACCCGCTACAAGCTGAGCTTTCCACGCTTCCATTTCTCGTGTGGTTTCCCACAAAGGATCATTAAAACACTGAGAGAAAATCTCAAAGAGGAACTCCACCTAAAATAAGATATTCTTTTGTCCAAGAGGAAAGTAAAGGGAGCATCCTACATTAAATTCCAACTTAACACGTAAGGACTGAAGAAAAACGAATTTTCATCAGTATCACTAAGAATAAGCAGTTTCCTCAGACAAGCTAATTATACAGCACCTGGCATTTACAGATGACTCATTAATAAATACGCTCTGAATAACAGTTAACTACATCAGTTTAGCGAAAAGCCCGCACTCCTTTAACTTAAGCCTCCCAGGTTAGTTCTGCATAGTTTCCAAGAGCGCTCGCTACCTGCAACGCAGGATCCAGCTGACGCGCCTCCTCGCCTGCCGCGGAGGCGGGGCCCGCCTGGCCCGCCCCGCCTCGTAGATTGGCAGGTCATCGGGGCGGGCCGGCGCGTGCGCACTGGCCTGTCCTCGGCCGGTGGACCATGGAGTCCCCGAGGCCGTTCGCGCCGGAGTGGCGCTCCCACTGGCTTCCCCTGATGCAGGGGGGCGTTTGGAAGGCGTGGCTTTGTGAGTTCTGGCTGCTCCTGCTGAGTTCCGGTTTGAACGCGACGTTTTTGCCACACGAAGAGGACGTAACGTTCATCAATGAGTACGTGAACCTCCACAATGAGCTCCGCGGCAACGTCTTCCCCCGAGGGTCTAACTTGCGCTTCATGGTGAGGCCCCAAGGCGGTTGCCCAAACCTCCCACAGCCCTTGTCCGGAGGCACCCCCTCGGCCTCAGGAAGCCCGGGCCGCTGCTCTGAGGCTTAAGGACCGCGGGAACCTAACTTGTAGTTTGAGTTTAAAAATACACGTGAAGTTTATACATTCAAGAAGTAAAAACCGCTATCACTCGAACACATAGGTATTTACCAGGATTTTCCACAGGGCCTGGACGAGGCTGAGCAGAGGCATCCGTACAAAATTTAAGGGGGGGTTTCAGTTCGAGAAAATGAGAGTTTAAGGCAATACTTTTCGTTAATTGAAAAGTCAGTGCAAGAATATCATTGATGTAAACAGGACCAATTTAAACAAAGGCGGGAACTTTGAATTCGGGAGAGGGAGGCAAGTGAGGCGTTCTCAGGATGACTCAAGTGAAAGGTCAGAATCTGTTCCTATTTAAAATTTTGAATTTTTATCACAAATGTTTTCACACTTGTTTTGTTTTGCCCTTTAAAAATATTACTTACCTTGAATATTGAGTTCTTTGGTATGCACCCTAAAGTTTTGCTCCCGAGATGGTGTTTCATTTACCTCACCCTGGTCCTGGCCCTAATTTTGCATTTCTTTACAATATTGTACTTGCTTCTTTCCTATTTTCCCCCTATTTCTTTTTAATATTTCATCAACTGTTCCTTGTTGCTATGGAGTTGTAGTGATTGTCATGAAAAACGACTACAAAACTTACTGAGTAAATACATTATCAGACAATTAGGTGCTTCCAATTTACGTTGTAAATACTGCAAGGACTGTCTTGTAAGTCTTTTATTCCTTCTCGATTAGTTCTTTACGAAAAATTCAGAAATGTGATAAAAAATTAAGGATGTGATTTTTTAACCTTATATGATACATAGCAATTGCTATTTTAAAGGACTATGCCAAATTAAGCAAATATCAGCAGTTTAAAAGTATTCCGTTTTCACCACATCCAGCTGGCTGGGGCATTTTCAATCACTTGCAAAACTAGTATAATACAAATGGATACTTAGCTTTAAGGTTAATTTTAAAATGCTCTTTTGATTGGAGGTATTTTCGTTCTTTTTTTGTTCATTTTCTTTACCTTTTGTATTGTCAGTAATTTCCACTTCTGTTTATATATTTTCTTATAGAAATATATACTATAATTAGCATTGTATTTGCTGAAGATAGTTTTAGCCAAGCCATTTTTGGTCTTTTGATCTTAATTAGAGTTTGAGGATATTTGAGAATTGTATCTATGTATTTCCTACCCATTGTGATTAATTCTCTTTTTTCTAAGTTTGGAGGTTAGCCTTCCTCCAGATAATAAACACAATACTTAAAAATTTTTTTTAAAATAATTTTCTCTGCTTTATGTTAATTTTTATTGTCTTTCATTATATATATATATTTTTTTTGGTCAGGGGGAGGTAATTAAGTTTATTTATTTATTTATTTTTAGAGGAGGTACTAGGGATTGAACCCAGGACCTCATGCACGCTAAGCATGCACTCTACCACTTGAGTTATATCCTCCCCACAACACACAATACTTTTTAGTACAACTTTTTGTAGCTTTTGTATTCCTACACTCTAAAATTTTTATTCCAGACATAAGGTATAGAGAATAATACAGTGTCCCCACAATATATATCTTAGTATGTGAACCTTTTTAAAGAAATAGTGTTTTGGGTACAGTTTAAAATCCCACCCTAAATTTTACCCTTCTCTTCTTTCTATAAGTTGGTATGTATTTTTCCCATGGATTTTACTAGGATGTAAATAATAACACCCTTCTCTTCTTTCTATAAGTTGGTATGTATTTTTCCCATGGATTTTACTAGGATGTAAATAATAACACCCTTCTCTTCTTTCTATAAGTTGGTATGTATTTTTCCCATGGATTTTACTAGGATGTAAATAATAACTGTAACAAGTATAATCTATCATAATGGTATGGTCTACTTAGAACTTTTCCTTGACAGGTTTGGAAATTACACATTTTATTTTTATTTTTCATTGATTATGCTTAACATTTTAACATATATACATTATGAGGTCCAAAGTTAGTCAACATTTATAATCTCCTTCCAAATATTAAAAAGATATTACAACACATAAATTCTGAATGTCTCCTATCCACTTCCATGCTGTTGTCATCTAGTATTTTTGCTCTACCTTGTTTTTAAACTCAAAAAATTTATTTTTTATTGTAAAAAAATACATAATATAAAATTTACCATTTAACCATCTGTAAGTGTATAGTTCCATGGTTTTAAATACATCACATTGTTATACAATCATCACCATCATTCATCTCCGAACACTTTCATCTTCCCCAGTTGAAACTCTGTACCCACTAAACACTAACTCCCTTCCTCCCAGTAGCAACCACCATCTTATTTTCTGTCTCATAAATTTGACTACTCCATGTAATTCATGTACGAATCATAACTATTTCTTTTTGTGACTGACTTACTTCACTTAGCATGTCTCAAAGATTCATCCATGTTCTAGCATATGTCAGAATTTCCATCCTTTTAAAGGCTTAATAATATTCTACTTTATGTATATACCACATTTTGTTTATCCATTCATCTTTCAATGGACATGAGTTTCTTCTGCCTTTTGGCTATTGTAAATAATGCTGCTGTGGACATAGGTATGTGAATAAATATCTATCCTGTTCCCTGCTTTCACCTCTACTGAGCATATACCCAGAACTGGCATTGCCAGAACATGGAGAAATTCCATATTTAACTTTTTGAAGAACTGCCATTTTGTTTCCCATAGTGACTGCACATTTCACATTCCCACCAGCAATGCACAGGGTTTCATTTTCTCCACATCCTTGCAAACACTTGTTTTCTGTTTTTTTGATATAACCACTTAATGGGAAGTGAAGTGGTATGTTGTTATGGTTTTGACTTTCATTTCCCCAGTGATTAATGATGTTGAGCATCTTTCCAGGTGCTTATTGGCCATTTGTATATCTTCTTTGTAGAAATATCTATACAAGTCCTTTGCTCATCTTTTTGTCAGGTTGTTAGGGTTTTTTGTTATAGGAGTTGAAGGAATTCTTTATACATTCTGGATAAAATCCCTTATTAAATGTATGATTTGCAAATGTTTTCTCCCATCCCATAGGTTGCCTTCTCATTCTGTTAACTGTCCTTTGATACACAAAAATTTTTAATTTTGGTGAAGTCTAATTTATCTATTTTTCATCTTGTTGCCTGTGCTTTTGCTGACATATTTAAGAAATCATTGACAAATCCAATGTCATGAAGCTTTCCCCCTTTGTTTTCTTCTAGGAATTTTATAGTTTTAGGCAGCAGTTACAAAAAAATGTGCTCAACATGACTAGTCATCTGGGAAATGCAAACTAAAACCACAATAAGGTATCACCTCACACTTGTTAGGATGTCTATCATCAAAAAAGACAAGAGATAACAAGTATTGGTGAGAATATGGAGAAAAGGGAAACTTTGTGTGTTGTTTGTGGAAACATATATTGGTGCAACCACAATGGAAAACAGTATGGAGTTTCCTCAAAAAATTAAAAAGAGAACTACTATGTGATACAGCAGTCCCACTCCTGGGTATCTATCCAAAGGAAATGAAACAGGATATCAAAGATATATCTGCCCTCCTATGTTCATTGCAGCATAATGCAAAATTATTCACAATAGCCAAGATACAGAAACAACCTGAGTGTCCATTAATGGATAAATGGACAAAGAAGAAGTGGTGTGTATGTTTACGATGAAATATTGTTCAGCCATGAGAAAGAAGGTAATTCTGCCATTTGCAAAAACTTTGATGGAACTTGAGGGCACTGTACCCAGTGAAATAAGTCAAACAGAGAAAGAGAAATATTGCGTGGTATCACTTATATGTGGAATCTAAAAAAAAAAGAGTCAAACTCATAGAAACAGAGAGTAGACAAGTGATTGCCATGGGTTAGGTGTTGGTAGGAATCGGGGGAAACAGGAAGAGGTTGGTAAAAGTGTACATTTATCTATAATGTAGCTTTTTTAGCTATAACATGAATTAGATCTGAGGATCTAATATAAAACTTGGTGACTATGGTTGATAACATTGTATTATATAAATGAGAAAAAGGAAACTTTAGCCTCTGTTTTCAACTGTAATTTTATTCAAGTTTGAGCAAAGGAATTTGTAACTATCATAACTTATTTGCACACTGTCATGAAAAGCAATGAAATAAAACGCTTATGAATTTGAGACTTGAGAGACCTCCTGGGTTTAAATCCTGGCTCCACATTTAACTGGCTGTAAGTGGCTATAAATAGATTTCTTAATTTTGTGTTTTAGTAACTTCCTTTGTGAAACAGAAACAGTAATAATAATGCATACCTTATAGGGTTATTGTAAACATTAAGTGAAATAATGCATAAATAACACTTAGAAACGAAGATCAAAAAACTCAACTAAAAAATGGGCAGTGGACCTGAATAGACATTTTTCCAAAGAAGGTGTACAATAGCCAACAGACACATGAAAAGGTGCTGAACATCACTAATCATCAAGGAAATGAAAATCAAAGCTACAATGAGATGTCACCTTACATCTGTCAGAATGTCGGTCATTGAAAAGA